GCACTGTAACTAAAGTGTGTGAATCACTGTGACTTATAGCGTGTGTTATAAAGGTTGTTAAGTTTAAAGTCATTGTGGAAATTCTGTGTATTACACTAAGTTGTATCGAGAAAGAATAAACTAGTTTTAATCAAGAAGGGACTTGTATCACTGAAGTTTATCGTATAGAATTTTTACTGAAAATTATCAAACAAGCAGATACGTAACAGTATATATATGGGAACTGAGAAAGTATAGCATTATATATTTATGAAATAATGGAGGTTGTATCCTTAAAGTATTATCTAACCTGGCAACGTAAAGGATCACTTTCGACTTTAACATTGTATGTTCATATTTGAAAAAATATTTCCCATGAGAAAACACGTGTAATACTATAGGTGAATGATCTGAACAATAAGTATCCAAGGGGAAATAATTTGACTACTTCCTTTACTAATGATCTATAGTTAAGCTCTATTCATTTACATGTATGAAAAAGAGTAAAAACAAAAAGAGTGAACACAAAGAAGATGGTAATGTGGTGGAAGGAAAAATTAAAAGAACAAGAAAGGGCGGGAAATTAGTAAAAGCAAAGAGATAATTCAAAGAAAATCAGAAGAGGAAAGAAACAAAAATTAAAAGGAGCCAAATATGAAATTTGCAAAACATGAAAAAAATGACCAGCTTTAAAAACTAAGCAATCTTCCAGTTGTTGGCCGTGAAAACTGTCAACCATTTATGGATGTTTTACTGAAGACGTTTGTGGAGCACACCAGAAAGAAGTTTATAAAATAAAGTGCTAGAACAGAGGAATGAGGAAACCTTAGCCAAATTTGTGGATGATGGTGAAAGACTTGCCCAGCTATCGTACCTAGATGTTCCAAATAAAATGACATATTTTTTAAGTTCGTGTACAATTCACAAACGCTATAGCGGATGAGGATATATAAGTTAGACTAAAGCAAATTATATTTACATCATTAAAGGAAGTAGTCCAGTTTAATGTGGAAATGGAATCCATTAAAGTCGCAGATAAACAATTAAATTCATCCTCCGGAAATTATGACAATATCTGATCAAATTGTATAGAAACATTAATTCTTTCTGATGAAGACCTAGAAGACATTTATCAGCCAACTCCTAGCTCAGAATGCAAGAAGTAAACCACATGAAACAGTTTTCCACTTTCAATCTAAAATATATTGTTACGACAACGCAGGTCACGTGACGCTGGTAACACGTCATTGACTTCTAGAAATATCCTGTTCCTTCATGAATGCTCTAGCGTTTACTAGATATGTGTTAGTCTAGTATATATAAGACGGTCACAACGTGACGGAACAATGTGTTATTGAACTGGGGAGAGAGAATATTGTTGAGCACATGAGACGTTCGTTGTGAATTATAGCGTTTGTTATAGCGCGACTGTTGAAATTAAGTGTATCGCAAAGTTGTATTCAGAAAGAATAAACCAGTTTTATTTAAGAAAGGACTTGTATCGGTAAAGTTTCTTCGGAAAGAATTTTTGCGGAAAATTAACTAATGAACGGAGACGTAACAAATTGGTGTCAGAAGTAGGATAGAAAAAAATGGAAACCATAGGTGGCAAATCAAACTACAGCTTAGCAGACTTGATGGCAGCAATACAACAGCAGCAAAAGAAACAAGAAGAACGAGAAAAGAAACAAGAAGAACGAGAAGAGAAATTACAGCAGTGGTTGGAGGAAAAAGAAAAAAAACAAGAAGAGAAATTACAACAGTTGTTAGAGGAAAAAGAAAATAAACAAGGGGAGAAATTACAACAGTTGTTGGAGGAAAAAGAAAAGAAACAAGTAGAGAAATTACAGCAGTTGTTAGAGGAAAAAGAAAAGAAACAAGAAGAAAGATTACAGCAGTGGCAAGAAAACCTACAACAATGGCAGCTCGAACAGCAAAATAAACAATAGAGATTACAGCAGTTACTGGAGGAAAAAGAAAAGAAACAAGAAGTAGGAGAAAAGAAACAAGAAGAGAGATTACAGCAGTGGCAACTAGAACAAGAAAGAAAACAGGAAGAAATTATCCAACAGTTGCAGGAAAGTCAGCAGCAAATAAAGGAAAGTCCACAACAGTGGCAAGAAGTACAAATGGAAAACATTAATAAATTTAAAAGAGAATTAGATACATTAAAGGATGATCTATTGTCCTTTACACAAGGAGAATACATTAACCATCGACTTAATCAGCCCCAGACAATGACAAGCCCCTTCCAGACCCTGCAGCTAAACCCTAAT